TCCTATTCACAGACAGACACCAGATGTTCCACCTAATCTGATGAAGAGTACAAGCCCCTGTAAGAAAAATAAAACTCAGTTCCTTCTTCCACTATGGGAAACAAAGTAAACTAACTGGCCTCTGAAGGCACAAGATTTTTCCTTCAATAACTTTATATTCCATCTTTGAATGACAGCATCCTAACATAACATCTTTGCTTCATCTTGGAATCATAACATAAGTCATTACATAACATAAAAGTATTTTTTTCTAACAGGAGCCAAAACACACAAGAACTTGTTCTCTCAACCATAAACACACAAAGCTAGTAAGTACATGTAAAAATACAAAATGCCAGAAATCCAATTATTTCTAGTCCTATGACCCATCCTGTTTAGCAGTTCAATAATTATTTTCCTTACTGATGACATTCCCTTTTAAAGGAGAATTTCGGTATCTTTGCAACAAGTTAAAATATCACTATAAGTCAAAAGAATTCAAGTACATGCCAAATTTTTAAGACTATCATACTGTGCTGCAAAATAACTATGTTTAAATCAATTATTACTTCATGACAATTTTGATTTGGATAGGATAAAGACAAGCAATTAAATATTTCAGAGAAATACTATGTTTATATATGAATACACAACCGGTGAAACTCCACACCATGTAGACTGCAGGAATGGAATCCTAATTTGAATAAGTTATATTCCACGTCTGTATAATACATCAAAATAGGGCACAGTGGTACATGCCTGTAATCCCAGCAGCTCAGGAGGCTGAAGCACAAGGATCGCAAGTTCAAAGGGAGCCTCAGCAAAAGCGAAGCGCTAAGCAACTAAGATATATTCATGACAAAAAGAAAGAAAACGCTTCAGCTCATTTTAATCATGAAGGCACCAATTAAATGAATCCAGAATGTTGAACACTATAAAATTTAGACTTTATCCAAGACTTAGGACTCTTCAAAAGTCAATGTCCAGGAAAACAACCAAAAAAGACTGATCACTATATATTAAAATAAAACAGACATAATCAAATGCTTGAACTCTGATTGGATCTTTAATTAAACACAAAATTTTAACTAATAAAAAGACATCTGGGGGACAATTAGAGAAATTTAAATATGATGTACTAGATATTATGAAATCATTCATATTTTTCTTAAGTGTGATGAAGATAATAATGGTTATGTAAAATAATATCCTTGTTCTTGGGAAGTATATGCTCAGGACTTAAGGGAAAAGTGCCTGCAACCAGCAACATGAAGCAAAAAAAAAAAAAAAGAGGGAGAAAAAGAGAGGGAAAGCATGTGTTACAAAATGCTGACAACTGGTCAGTCTAAGCAAAGAGCATATAGAGGTTCATTGTTCTCATGCTTCAACTTTTCTGTAGGCTTAATAAATTCAGTCACATAAAGGAGACAAAAAAATGTGTGGTAGGCTAATAAACAAACAGGGTTTTTTACCCCCAGACTGAAAAGACATTTCTTCATCATATAATATTTAATCTAAATAAGTCTGAACACCAAAGATTACTTAGTAAACTATAAGCTAGGAAAGGGGGAAAATGGTTGCAGGAGCTCCACTCTTCTCATATTTACTTGTAATGTTGTGTTCTGTTTCATCAGATAATAAATTAAATGCTGTTATATGACAGGCAGCACATACATAAAATTCTTTTTTTCCTCCTAAGCTCAGGAAATAACTGCCTTGAAGTACAAATTCAAAAGAGAACCCTTCGAGGGTGAAGGAAATTTAAAACTTAAGTAAAAAAAAAAAAAAAAAAAAAAAAACACAATTCCCCTACCTTTATTACGTAAGTTTAAAGAAAAGTCCTGATTAACTTAAAGAAAGCCAATCAGGAAGAGCAGTTATGATTTTCAAAAACGGCAAACCATATCGCTCATTCATAAACTTAAAGAGGTTATTAAACATGATATATCGGGGCTGGGGATGTGGCTCAAGTGGTGGCGCGCTCGCCTGGCATGCGTGCGGCCCGGGTTCGATCCTCAGCACCACATACAAACAAAGATGTTGTGTCCGCCGAAAACTAAAAAATAGACACTAAAAATTTCTCTCTCTTTCTAAAAAAAAAAAAAAAAAAACATGATATATCACCATTAGCAAGAGAATATTAACATTTCATATGTTTATCCCTAAACTGGCTAAATGCAAAAAAGAACGCTGAATTGATTATATCAATTTCAATAACAGCAAGGTTTGGTGGCACATTCAGGTAATCTCAGTAACTCTGGAGGCTAAGGCAGGAAGATCACTACTTTGAGGTCAGCCTCAGCATCTCAGCAAGGTCCTAAGCAACTTTTAGAAATGCTATCTCAAAAAAAATAATAAAGTAAAGGGCTGGGGGCATAGCTCAGTAGGAGAGCTCTAGATTCAATCCCCAGCTCCACCACCCCAAAACTCAATAACCAGAAATCTTTCTAGGAGTTCATTAAACTCCAAGACAGTATGAATGAAAGAATACTTTAAAACATTAATAATTTTATATTGATTACATAATGAAGTAACAGTTCATATACATCGAGCTAAAGTTAATTTAATCTTGGGGTTTTTTTTCAGTGTAGCTGGTAAAAAAAAATTTTAAAAGAGAGAAGAGAGAGAGAATTTCTTAATATTTATTTTTCAGTTTTCGGTGGACACAACATCTTTATTTTATTTTATGTGGTGCTAAGGATAGAACCCAGCGCCCCGCGAATGCCAGGCAAGCGCGTTACCGCTTGAGCCACATCACTTGGGGGAAATTATCGCTTAAGGGAGAAAGAGACAGGGGAAGAGGGTGGAACTCACACAAAAAAATACCCCAAATTACAGTGCTAGTAAGTACAAAAACAGAGACTTGAAAGCAAACCTTCTAATTCTAGAGCTTAAGTCCAAAACCCCAAAGCCAATGGTTCTCAGTGTTGTCTAGAACTCTCAGCATCACTGGGAATTTGTTACAATCAATCAAACTCTAAGGTGGGGCTTAGTTAGTTGTAGTCTAGATTTTTAGCAAGCCCTCCAATGATTCTGAACTAAAGATTGAGAACTGTTGCTCTGACCTAAACTGGTAAAAGCCAATAAAACCTTCTCAGAGGAGGACAACTATTAGAAACCTGAGAAAAGGTTAGTCCTTGCTACTGTTATCTTTTGGTGAAGCTCTTCAAGAGACCTTCATTATGAGATCTGGCAAAGACTGAGGCTCTGTACTTACATCCTGGACTTTGCACAGTATCTCTTCAATGAGTCCCTCACCTAGAACAGCAACTCATTTAATATAACATCCAGATAGATTAGCAATTTAAGTGCAAATAAAATCACAAAAGTAAAAATGGGAAAAAATTAATGATTTAGGTAGAGGATTAAATGAGACAAAACCTGGCACTGAAAAAAAGATTAATAAATTCAATAATACACACACAAAAAAAAAACCTGAAATGCACAAAAACGTCACAAAGAGGATTTTCAAAAAAATTAAAAACCAGCTAGGATGGTATGCAACAAGTATCACAAAAGGCTAATTTCTTAATTTACAAAAATAACACCTATAAATTAAAGACCACCCAAGAAAAGAGACCTCCTTCAATTAATTAAAACAGATGATCACATGAAGAAATGCAAATATTCCATTTCACTCATATTAAGAGAAATGAAAATCGCCCCAACACACCCACCGCAACCATCTTTTCAAAGATCAAAAAGTCTACATATCTAAACTTAAGCTTCTGGGCTGGGGAGGTAGCTCAGTAGTATTTACCCAGCATGCACAAGGCCCTAGGTTCACCCCCAGCACTGCCAAGTGAGCAAGTGAATAAAATAAGTAAGTGCCAAGCTTCCACTATTCTTGTCCCCACCCTCACATCTTCTGCAATTCACTTTGCAAAAATGCCATTCAGGGATTGTTCAGGTCAAAAATTTTGATGACTGTACTTGATTTGATTACAACTTATGTGCCAGCAAATCTGGACAGCTCCAGCTTCAAATAAGATTCAGAATTCAACTATTTTTTCATTGCCATCATTCTGATCCGAGTCATTGTGAACTCTCAACCGCATTATTATAATAATCTCCTAACTGGCCTTGCCCTTGTCCCCCACCGCATTTCTTCGCACAAAATTATCACTCTGGCTCTTAAAATGTGAATCAGATCCTATCACCATTCTGCTGAAAATCCTCCAATGGATTTTCATCTCATTCTATAAAGGGTGAAGTCTATACCATAATCCAAAAGCCCTTACACATGATGTAAGCCACTTTATCCCTATGTCTCATCTACTACAACTCACCCTGTGTTCTCTCTGCTGCATTCAAACTGTTCTTAAAAGGAACATTTCTATCCCCACAATCTTTGCATCAGTGTTCCTCCTGCCTGGAATTTTCATTTACACACAGACATGCACGCCCTCACACATGCTTCAAATTTAAATTTAAAAGACATCTGGTCACCCTACCAAAAATTTTACTCTCCAGTCCTGGCACTTCATACACTGCTTCACTGATTCATAGCATGCAAGGTGCTAATAAAGTTTGGTTATTTAATTCTTGTTCTATAGGGAAGCTATGGAAAAAAATTTTTGGAAGCTTTTTTTTTTTTTCTTTAAATCTACTGCATTATGAAATTTTATCAGGAGGTTTAAGGTCTTACCTTGTGTATCTTGTTATTTGGTGTTGGCACAATAAAGATTTCAGTTTTGTGTGATGTGTGTGTGTGTGTGTGTGTGTATGTGTGTTTGGTTGTTTTTTGTTTGTTTTGTGTTTGTTTTGCTTTTTGGCACCAGGGATTGAATTCAGAGGCACTCAACCACTGAGCCACATCCCCAGCCCTATTTTGTATTTTTATTTAGAGACAGGGTCTCACTTGAGTTGCTTAGTGCCTCATCATTGCTGAGGCTGGCTTTGAACTTGTATTTCTCCTGCCTCGAGCTGCTTGAATTACAGGCGTGCGCCAATGTGCCTGGCTCTGTTTTTAACACTGGAAATTTTCTTTCATCATACTTTGCTCCTACTTTTTTTTTCTTTTCTTTATGGAATGCTTTTCAAATTTGTGCGTCACTTTTGCATGGGGTCCATTTTAATCTTCTCTGTATTGTTCCAATTTTAGCGTATGTAATGCCAAAGCAAGCAACCCACTCCCATTTTGTTTTTCCTGCTCTCTCATTTAGGAACTTCTGCTAGACAAAGTTTTTGAGGCAAAATTTTTTGAATCTAGATCTTCATACACTCAAACCACATTCTCTCCAAAGAATAAAATACAAGTTTTCAAACATGGAGACATTCTCAAAGTTATCACTGATTACAATACCAGAGAACATTCTGCAACAAAAAGTAAATCTCAGAAAGAAGATAATATACAAAGTTACAAACAAAAAGTCCTGTTACATCTAAATAATAGTTGCTAATAACAACATATCTAAATAATAAATATAACTCCTGGTTATATCTAAATAATAATTGCTACATAGGAAATAATTTATAGTGTTACTGGCGTTGTTGGGGGGTTTTGTCTGTTTTTTAACCAAGACAAAGCCAACAACAAAGAAATTATCAAAGGTTTTTAGGTTACCTTATCTCCAACCTAATGGCATCTTAAACTTAACATGTTTCAAAACCTAACTTCCTCATTTTCCCATCCAAAATGCTACTCTAGTTGCCTTCTTCATTTCAATAAAAGACAATTCTATCCTTCTAATTGCTTAGGCCAAAATCTTGGGAGTCCTCCTTGATTCTTTTTATCATCTCATCAATTAATAAATCCTGTTAGGTCTATCTCCAAGGTATATCAAAAATCCTAACAATTCTTCCCAACTATAGCCCTTGCCCAAGCCATTATAATCAAGATCTTGAATTACTGTAATAATCTCCTAAATGGTCTTTCTGTATCCTCCTTTGCCCCCATATAACAGAGGTTAAGTAAAACTTTCAAATTTAAGTCTGATCACATTACTATTTTGATGAGATCAAATAAATGCTCATCCAGAGTAAAAACTAAAGTTCTTACCAAGGCCTATGATGACCTAAATGACCCAAATTTCTTATTACTTCTGACTACATCTTACCAGTATTTTAGTCTTTCACTCTGCACCACATAATAGTGGCTTCTATTATTCCTGGAATATACCTTGGAACACTCTCCAATCTCAGGATCTCTATATTTGTTGTCACCTTTGCCTGACATTCCTTCTCCAGATGTTCTGGTGGTTCAGTCTTTATCTACTGCCAAGGACTAAGTATTTGTCTCCACACCCCACCTATACCCTGTCAAATTTTTGCATTGAAGTCTCAATGCCTGATATGATCATATTAGGAGGTGAGGCCTTTTGAAGATGGAGCCCTTATAAATGGAACTGCTGCCCTTATTTTAAAAAAAAAAAAAAAAAAAAAGGACACATAACAGAATATCTAATATATAAGGAATTCAGGCAAGAAGGTATCTGCAAATCAGGAAGAGGGCCCTCATCAAAATGGCCTATACCTTCATCTTGGATGACTTAGCCTTCAGTACTGTGAGGAGTAAATTTCTTGTTTAAGTCATCAGTCCCTGGCATTTTTGTTACAGCATCCTGTATTAAGTCATCTACTGACCTCTGTACATACAATAAGAAACCTACATATTTACACTACCTTCCTAAGCACCATCTCTCCTATTAACTATGCTAATCTTTCTCCACATCACTCATCATCATCTATTGTTCTACACATTTACATATTATATAGTTTTTTTTTACCTCTCCTCTCACAGTATAAGGTAGGACCTTAAAGGTAGAGACTTTGCCACTTTCATTTGTTATATTCCCAGTGCTAGGATAGTTCATAATATACATTATGTGTTCAGCTAAATTATCTGTAGGATGAATAAAAACAAGGCATTTTTTAAAAAATGCTAACATGTACACCACTCAGGAAGCTGCTCCTTACTCCATATACAGAGCAGAAAAGAGTCCCTGACACAGAGCAGATATTCAGTAAATGTGCGAGAGAGTACAGGGAAGGGGAAGTAACAATCTAAGTTGAGGCCATGTCCTTATGAACAGAATGTTAAAAGATGAACAAGAGTTAGAAGAACTAGAAAAGCAAATCAGTGTTGAATAACTGTTTAATTCAGAATGAGGGCTGGCTTCAAAGGAGACATGGAGCTACTACCCATTTGATCCATTTAAGAAGCAGTATATTTTAATTTTGCAAAACAATAAAAACACTAAAATTATAGATAAAACTATATAGAAAGAAAATGAACAGCTTGAACCACATGGAGGAAAAAGTAGAATGTTAAGAATGGAGAGATGAAATGACAAAATAAACATACTTTAGAGCAGTGACATTTCTAGCAGAGGGTGGGGGAATAGGGAAGAGTTTGCAACAGCTGTAGCAAGAAGGAAGTTTGGCAGGAATAAAAGCATAAAGGTCAAAATGGAGATACACATTGAGACCGCATATTTACACTGCTTATTTGGAAAGCAGCATTAAAGTTCATACCCAGTGATACAAAAAGAATCCTATGTGCTCCTAAGGTTATAGGAAAAAGCATTAATCACACAGTCCAATAGGGTAACAATGCAGCTATGTGGGGGCAAAGATAACGTTACTATGGGAACTTTGCTTCTAGTTTTTATTTTCTAATTATGGGTTGGAAAAAATAATATTTTCTTCTAATGTAGCATAAAAGTTTTTATAAAAAATTTTATGCAGTGTTTTCTTCTACCTCCAATAACTTTAAAAAAAAAAAAGAAGCAATTCTCAAAGCATGCTTTATATTAAGGCTGTAAGTGATTAAAGAGTTCTAGTGTTGCCTGAGATACTAGAATTTCTCCCCAGTAAATAATAATCTATTTAAAGGGCATTATTTTAAAGAGGATGTTTCATCTTGAAGGTTATGTCCAACAGTAATAATATTCCTTTTTAAAGAAAGGGCAGTGAAGACCAAAGCAAATCATGACTAAGGGTTGCTATATCTTTGCCAATTTCCAGTAAGAAAAGAGTCCAAATGTCACCCAAACAGGCTGAACTATCTATAGCTCTTGCTCCTCTCTCCTCTCTGTCTTGATTGAAGAAGACGAACAGTCTCAAATGTTCTTCATCAGAACAGCAGAGCTCACATAAGGGTTAAGGATTAGATTCAGTAAGCCTAGTGCAGGACCTAAGGTATTTAAGTTTACTTAGATTCTACAGGTGATCTGGAGCTGCTATTTTAAAAGGGACACCTTCTTCAATGAGATACATTTTTTTTTAACATTTATACTGTTGAGATTTCTAGTCCCACTACCACACATGAACATTCAAGTATCTTTATCTTTATTAGAAGAATGTACTATAAAATGAACTGTTTTTTCTACTACCGATTTGACGGGAACTTTTTTGGCAATAGTCACCAACAGAAAGGAAGCCTAGATAACTGTCAGAGGATTTCTAAAACAAATTAAAAACCACGAACCATTTATTCAACATCTAGAAACATACTCCTCTGTACATCACCACTGGAAGCCTCTGACTCATCATACCACAAAATGAATTTCTTTCATGCTTGGAAACCCACTTCTGATTCCTCTCCTTAGTTCTGCAAATCTGCAGTTTCTTCTAAACTGGGATTAAATTTCAAACTTCATAGAAGGTATCACAACCTGATTCAAAGACAAATCCCACCCCCTAGCCTAAATATTCTTGAATGTTTTCAAGGTCACTGATTCTCAAAGCTAAATCAACCCTATACTTAGGAAATCAAAGTTTTAAAACTGAAAAACATAGGCTCTCTGAGACCATATATTTATTTATTTTTGAATTCTCTGTGCCTTGAACAATTAGTAAACATTCTGAAATTTTTTCACAGACATAGTTATGACAAGCCTTTTAACAAAATAAATATGAAACAAAGTTCATTTTAACTATTATTCATTAAAGGAATAAAGAACAAGGAGGCACGCATAACATCTAAGCCTCCATTTCAACCCTTTTTCTGCCACATTTTCTTGATCCATTTATCTACTGATGGGCATCGGGGCTGATTCCATAATTTGTTGTGAATCATACTACTGTAAACATTGAAGTGAATGTACTGCTATTATATGCTGATTTTAGCTCTTTTGTATAAATACCAAGAAGCAGGATGGCTGTGTTATATGGTGGTTCCATTTCTATTTTTTTGAGGAACTGCCATGCCATACTGCTTTCCAGAGAGGTCATGCTCATCTGAGTCCCACCAATGTATCAGTGTACCTTTTCCCTCCACGTTCTTGCTAGCATTTATTATTATCTGTGTTCTTGAGATAAAAAGATAAAATCTTAATGTAGTTTTGATTTGCATTTCCCTGATTGCTAGAGATGTTGAACTTGTTTTGTTGGGTTTTTTGTTTTGTTTTTTAATGTTGGCCATTTTTCCTTCTTCATTTGAGACATTTCCATTTAGTTCTTTTGCCCATTTACTGACTGGGTTATTTTATTTTGCGGTTTTTGAGGGGGCAGCATTGAGCTTTTTAAGTTATTTATATATTCTGGATGTTAATCCCCTGTCAGAGGAATGGCTGGCAAAGATCTTTCTTCCAATTCTGCAGGCTCTCTCTTTGTGCTCTTAATCATTTTCTTTATAGTGCAGAACCGTTTTAATTTGATGGCATCCCACTTGTTGATTCTTGGTGTTATTTCTTGAGCTTTAGGGGCCTTGTTGAGAAAGTCTGACGTAGGCTGATAAAAGTCCCGATTAACCCTGTTTTCTCTAGCAGTTCCAAGTTTTCTGATCTAATTCCTAAGTCTTTGATTCATTTGATTTGACTTTCGTGCAGGGTGATTAACAGGGATTTAATTTTATTCTTCTACACAGGATATCCAATTTTCCCAGAATCATTTGTTTAAAAGTATGTCTTTTCACCAACACTTTCTGGCACCTCTGTGAAGAATCAGAAGGCTGCAAGCATGTTGGTTTGTTTCTGTATCTTCTATTCTATTCCACTGGTCTTCATGTGTATTATAATACCAATACCATACAATTTTGCTACTGTAACTCTATAGCATAATTTGAAACTGGGTATTCAATTTCTAGATAGGTGATGCCTCCTGTATCACTTTTCTTGCTCCAAATTGCTTTGGCTAACTGTGGATCTCTTATTCTTCCAAATGAATTTAAGGACTTTTTTCC